TACATGATTGTTACTGTAATTTAACAAGTCTTCACATATTTCGTGTAACGTCTTAGCTAAAAATTTTTGTGTGTAAGTCAGCACTAGTGCAGACATGTAGATGAGGATCCTGCAATGAAGCACTGACAGAAGCAATCGCGACTTCCTTTTTCGACTTATTCAGAATATTGTTTCTCGTTACATTGTTGAAGTAAAGCATTTATGCGCCACTGTGATGAAAAATGGCAACTTGTTTTCCCCATGTTATGAACTCAAGGCCATGTGAAAATCTCGGTAGCATCACCATTTTGTCAGACCAAGTTTTTACGAGAATCCATCCGCAAGTCATATTATTTCTGGGAGAGGTTCTGCAGTACCATCACCTCTTCACCGATTACCTTTTTTGTAGCGCAGAATCAGTGTTTTAAAACACTGGCGTTACTTTTTTAACAGTCAGTTTTGTTGGAAGGAGTGTTATAATGAAACTCCTTCATGTGAATGATGCTAAAACCATGAGCCGAGTATTATATTGCTTACAAATACATTTATTTTCATGCCCTCATCCCCCGATCAAAGCTTAAGTAGTTTTACCCAATGAGACAGGCTATTTTTACAAATCATTCCAACCAAATCAATGATACCAACGTTTGGTCTTTAGTCCTGCAAAAACTACTGTTTCGCCCAAAACGGTAGCAAGATATGTGGCGACCTTTGCTTTTTAAAGTGTCTTTCCTCCTCACTCAAAAGCCAGAAGGATTCCAGGTAAAGCGTCATCCACATGCGAAAAAAATCCAAGCAACCTTAATTATGGGTTGTGTTTATTAAGTTTGAATCGCAGAAAAATAATTCCAACACAGTGAGGCTTATTTGAGGTCACGAACGTGACTTCCAAACGGAGCCCTTATTAATCATTAAAAGTGATTAACCTTGCTCTTAGTGGGTACTTAAAGTGTCTCCATTAGGGGATCTTTAACGCAGGCGTCCATCAGTATGTGCGTAATTAAAACGTTTCTCCTCTCGAGTAAGTACCGAGACGGATTGTTAGCCTTCCGTGACACCTCACAGGCATGGTGCGTGTGTTGGCGTGCCTAACCAGCCACCATCAACTGGCTCAGGTTTGCACGATTGTTCGTTGTTGCCACCTTATCTAAATGCACACACATGCATTCATTCACCCATTCATACGTGCCTACGCATGTACGTATCGCGTACACCTTCACGCAAACGGCTCCTCCCAAAGTTCGCATGTGTAATAGCATCTCTTCCCAATGTTACGCAAAGGTCGCCAAGAGCACTCTTAAGTGTCAAAGTCTCCAAATCTCACTACTGTTTGAGGGAGTGAGTGGTTTTACGGTTAAGCTTAAGTTTGGGCATGATACACCTCACCACAAAGACAAAACGAATGCCAAGACTTCAAAGACATTTTGTTCACTAACGGCTCAAGTTTACCAATAAAGCGTTGTTAATGCTCAACTTTGATTATTGTTTTCGTCTCTTATTGTTGAAAGATCCATTTAACCTGAAGCAGGAAAATAGGACAAATGCTTTTCAAACTAATGGAGCAATCTCAATTAAACCGGACACTACAACATTTTAAGCAATACAGATGCTTGTCCAGCATTATCCGACAAATACGGTTGTTTTTGCACTCGTTTATACACGAATCAAACCGCGAATACAAAAAAATCCGCTACTGGCAAATTACTCACACAGCTTTTGTACACGCCCGAAAACATGCACAAACGAGCCACAACTGGACAGAACTGCAACATTTGCACATTCTACGAAGTCGAGTACGTGCCTAGAGCTGAGTTTAAGGCGCAGACGAGACTAGCACAGCACAAATTCCTTATTGGGCTCACAAACCTCCCTTGGAGGCTATTTACATGCCATGAACTGAATGAACCCAATCTAATTTTACTCATCAGTCTCAATCGTCTCTGCGTGTCAATGTAAGAAACTCACGAAATGCCAGTTCTATAATTCAATTTTCTTATTGTCAGAATCGTGTAAGCGGTACATTTACTCCTTGAGAGTTCAAAGTCCACAAAACCTAACTTTTCTGCCACCTTGTCTACGAAAGGTTTATTCATCTGTGTAAACGTGCGCCAAGTCTAAGTAGTTGCAAAGACTTTAGTCCTCCACAATGCAAGCCAAAAGAACATGATTGTACGTATGTCCAGAAACGCACTTTCAGTGGTCCAATTCATTACATGGTTTTCAAATTTATTGACTTCAAATGCGATAATATGTTAGTTCATTGAGCATCCGTGCGCTCACATGTTTGTCAGAAGTTCAGTAACCCACTGTGGGATGGCAATTTTGCGCCTTGTCTTGCACTATTTTGGAGACCAATGCAACCGAAATCTTTTGCATTTATGCATGTGAGCCTTACTTAAGTGCGTGAATCCGGAGTGATTCATTAAACGTGAGAAATCACTGTTTTAGGCTTATTGAGAAGGAATATGGGAATGAAGACTACGGTAAACTAGGCGTCGCTATATGTCTCATCTTTCTGACTCACCCAACTCTATGGCGGTGGACGACCCGGGTGTGCAGTTGCGTTCAGCAGGTGTGACCGCAGTTAACGGGCGAATAACGCCATAGCTATTAACTTATTTTCTACACCGATTTCCATAAAAAAATTAATTATGGCTCTGCTTTGAACCCATCATAACAACGATCGACGTGGAATGGATTTTCTTAGCAAAAGTGGCGGATTTATAAAGTTAACAGACAAACTTCTTCAAATAGAAATCTAATTCAACTTATTCAGATTAACTGTCTACACAATTAGCAGCAAATGCTTATCTGCTGGTGTCGCTCAAGAGTGTACTTGACTGATGTCCGCCTGATTTGCAAATTTGTGCAAATGCATGTTTGGGAACCACGTATTACTGCAAGCATTTGAAACATAAAACAGGAATCAAAACACTTCCGATTTTGGGACTAAAAAGTTAGCGTCTCTGTTCCGACTAATTATGCTAATTTTCTCATAAAATCCGATTTCTGTATTCGTGAATATTTTGTTAATGTTACGATTATTCAGAAAGCTTCTTCTTCTACAAATTTCCTTTATGCGATTCAGTAGAAGCCTATAGGTCCACAACCCACCACTACAAACTTTGCCTGACAGTTTGTAAGCTGCTTTACTGCTGTACCTTTCGGTGGACCATTTGTAGGCATCTCCATTACCGAACTTGTGATGATGGAAATTGGCTTTAGCCTCTGTGGAAGCGGCTTTGCCCCAGGACCAATGGACAGCCTTATGGACTCCTTTTGGATAGATTCATCCAAAATCTTGGAGCCTCCTCTTTGTGAACTCAAGCCCACGTCTCCAGGATCTACAAAGTCAACAAGCAGCTTGGATTCCTTACTGCAAGGAGCATCAAATACTGCATCGGGCTCAACTCCACCCCTATCTCCATGGCCAAAAGATATAGAGGAGCGTCTGCTTCCAGCTTCACCTGAAAGGAAAGGAAGTAATTTCGGAGATCCTGTGAACAGCTTGTGGCAAAGTGATGTGACTTGCGAATGTCATTTATCATCGTCAGCATTACCATCGCCACCAACCCTTCCAGACCAAAATCAAACCAAGAAGACTGTACTTCTAGGCACTGACTTGCTTCAGGGTTTTGATGCGAATGAGGCTACTTCAACATCTGATGGATTAGAAGAACAACTTGCCAGTGCTGACAATGCCTGGACGGCTGCATTAGAATTATCAGGTGAGGCTTATATGATCATAATGGCAACATCAAGACTGGTTAGCCATGCTTTACAAAACGATTACTCCATCAGTGACCAGACAATCAAGGTTAATAATTGCGGAATTAATTGTTAGACAGACAAAGACTTCAAAAGACAAATTTTGCATGATGCATTTCTTAGCTTTCGAAACGGAAGATGCGGGCCATCTCCTTACCCCAACTCAAAGTTCAAACACTCCGACAGTTTGTCTCCCATATAGACGGACGAGGAGACGACGACATCGAAACAATGTTTTAAATTCTCTCGAATCTCGACGAAATTTTCTACCTTCAGCGGATCCTGAAAGCACAGAGACCGGTTCCGAAGGTGAAGATAATCTTAGCAAGGGAGCGTCACCGCAGCGAAACCGCAGTCGTGTGTTCATTGAAGGACGTATAGAAGTTGTGGAGGACCTTTGCTCTTCTGATCTTGATGACAGCGATGAAGAAGATGTTGGTCGATCTCCTACAAAGAAGGCAGCATTAACCTCTCCTTTATTGTCCACATCCACTCAGACTCTGCGGCATTCCCAGTCGTCAAAAATTGATTACACAGAGCCTTGGTGGCCGCAGAGATCCAGTTCGGTGTTCCAACGCCTTAATGCTCGGGAATTTGATGTTGGTGGCGGTGGTATTGGACGTAGTCGAAGGCAGCTGGAGTTGTGGGAATTTATCCTGCGCTCTCTCGATGCGAGACCGGCCAATGATACGGGGTCAGCCTTCAAGTGGGTCAACCGATCAGTCGGAGTGTTTCGTGTGACAGACACGCAGAAGGCGGCCAAAGAATGGGGCCTTTATCGCGGCAATGAAAGAATGGACTACGAGAAGATGGCTCGTGCTATGCGGTAAGACCTTAAAGATTAATCATTTATCTGACTTATTGGAGCCATTTAAGCAATATAAAACTTATAACCAACATACGAAGGTACTTGTCACACGGCTTCTTTATTTTGTGTTTGCTTGTGAAAGTATAGTCGTTGGATTAAAAGGCAGCTAATTCATCTTCAAAAGACTGTGTCGGTTGAAGGGAAATTCTACGTTGAATTCAGTGCTGGAAAAGGTAAGGCTTTCTGTTTTTCATTGCCTGAATTATGCAATGACTCCAACGATGTTCCAGCGCGATGCATCAATACACTGATTAAATGGGACACTTCTACGATCATGTATCCCCCTCAATAGCTTTACCAGTTGCCTCTAGTTTTATTAAGATGGAGGTAGAACTTACAAAATCATTCAAAATTAAAAGATCGATTCAGACAGTTTCACCTTTCAACTTCTTGAAGGCCAGCGCCTAATTTGCATTACCTTGCGTGAAAAGTAAAATGTAGAGACTTTGCACAGGTTCTTGATTACGTATTTTGTAGGTTCTACTATAAGGAATGCGTGCTTCGGAAGGCTAGCAAACAGTTGCATTTCCAATTTTCAATGCCATTTGTCTCGTGGTCTCAACGGCATAATTCCTGCGAAAGTTTTTCCACTGCAGCGTCGTGATCCCTCAATGCCGCAATATTTTCACGACCATTCGATAGTCTGGTGTACATAATTTGTAATATCTTCGCTACAACTACCACCAGAATGACATTAATCAAAGGCAATCAATCAGTTTATTTAACCTTATTCTAACCGGCATGTTCAGACTGGAATCATGCCGCCAGTGTATCAAGCATTGTTTGAAAAAAAAGTGATTATGAGCGAAACAATAGGTATGCAAATGACATAAATCCTGTCTCCTTGACTAGGTGCGAGGTACACAATCTAAATGAAATGCAGCAAATCTTTAAGAAATATTAGTATGGTTTTGCGAATGTTGGTGGAGAGCCACAAATTCTTCCTAAGTGGCTGTCGGACGTAGAATAGAGACCATTTACTAATAATTTAATAAAGAATTTGCATACTACTCAAGCTGACTGAAAATCAAACTACGAAGTGGGATAAGTTACCATGGGGATCCACCCCCCGTGTTCCAACGCGCAAGCAAAGGAAGTACTGGTTCCCCACTTAGGTCCTATAATTTTTACTGTCAGTAGCACTGCCTTTAACTAAAATCCCAACCAGTTAAGGGGGGATAAAACCACCGGAGCATTAGCAAAGTTTGCTCAATCGCCTTGCCCACAGAAAAGCGTTCGATTGAAACAACGTTGATACTTCTCAGCAATTACATTATATCTACAGTTTCGACATATTTGTCAATCGTTCAGTGAAAGGAAACAGAACTAACCCAATAGTGCTCACAGAGAAGCTGGTCTGAAAGTGGATCTACAGGTTCTTATTAGGAAAAAATTGGCGTCTATTCATTTCATAAATCGCGGTTATCCAACCTATCACCCCGAGTGCGGAGTAGATGATTTTTGATGCGATTAATATACTTATGTAGATGTCACATATAGACCCGTTTCAGGCCTATTATTGCGCCTACTAACGAAGTCGTTCTTCAGGAACGCTGGGTTATGACATCTTTCAAGACAGTGGCAGGCTTAACTCATTGACATTGATCCCTTACTGAAAATATAGGACTAGAGTTCTAAAGAAATGAGATTTTGAATCACTACTACCAATATTTTGACACGATAAAAAAATTTGTTTAATCGACTTTATAGGTATGGGACAAGATACAAAGTAGTAAAAGCTGTACTAGAAGGGCCGACGGATGCTGCTTGAGCTTCGCTCTCGGTACACCAGCTTCTCTGGTTTTGTAATGCTGCACCAACTCTCCTGAGATGTCAATTAAAACGTTTTAAGAAAACTGCCTCCCGGAGAAACGCCAAGAAGGGACTTTAGGGACCTTGTGATAAAATGTAGTACCATGCTTACAGCAAAGATAATCTGAAAAAAACTGCATTGAAGGCGTGGAAATTAGATGACACTGGCATTACTGTTATCGAGTGTAAAAAGTAAATAAAAACGAGCAAACGAATACACAAAGCATTAGATAACTGTACGACAAAGGCACTGTAAAGGCGCCAGTACATTTAATTTTGACCGCATCTGACTCAACAAGCGGTCATTAGAAAGCTAAATTAAAAGAAATATTTTTGTTTGTCTTGCAAAGTACGAGTGCTTAAATTTTAGGAGACCGGAAAAGTTACTCAAATCGACCTAATGTTAAACTGTTGAGAAACTGCGCAACACACTAAACGAGATTTTACTATAGCCGGTATCAAAGCGGAAATTTGTTCAAATTTGACTTCACAGAAAGTATTAAATTATAGACCTACGTACGTAAACGAAAAATAATTCGATTAAGGATAAACAGGATAAACAGGATAACAGCCAATCTCAAAGCTTTGTAATAGTGATGATAACTTCCTCATTACTGGTCCTATTGGGGTTGGTGCGGTGCCTGAGGGTGCAAATGGTGGATTCCTATGACTATTTACTGAAGTTTCTCATTATTGGTGATGCTTCCACAGGCAAAACCTGTATATTGAGACGTTTCATTGAAGACACTTTTAAGGAAGACATGCTTCACACCATAGGTGTCGAATTTGGCACCAAAGTAATTCAAATAGGTGGGGAGTCCCTTAAACTACAAATCTGGGATACCGCTGGACAGGAGAGATTTCAATGTGTCACTCGGTCTTATTATCGAGGTGCTGCCGGTGCCCTTGTTGTGTATGATATATCATGTCGCGAGTCTTTCAATCGTGTTGCCGATTGGGTCTCGAGCGTGCGTGAACTCTCGAAACCTGACCTCGCGATTATTCTCGTTGGTAACAAATCTGATCTCGCTGCCGAACACCGAGAGGTTAGCTCTACCCGATTGTCGAAGAGTTCATCAAACAGTCGAATCGCTCCCCAAAATTAAAGAGTTGTGGCGTGTTTCTTTTTAAAGGTGAATGAAGAGGAAGCCCGTCAGTTTGCCAAGGACAATGGAGTTCATGACTTCATCGAAACTTCTGCCAAGTTGGGAGAAAATATTCAGGAGGCCTTCTACGCAGCTGCACGGACAGCTCTGGAAAGGGCTAAGGCCACCCAGTCCACCGATGCATTTCTGCCTGCGTCGGGTTCTGGTGGAAGTTACCTCCATCGTGCCCCTCCAAATCATAATCGGATCAGCTGTTCCAGTTGTTAGGCTAATTGCTTTTGGTAAGCGCTTTTTAAGGGGTTGTAGATGATGAAGCATTTGGGGTACGCGTTTCTAGGCCTTCAATCTATCCATGGATAGTCTTCAATGTATATTATCATTTGGCATTTGTTTGCAACTTAACTTCTGTTCTTGATTTGAAAGCTTCGGTGAAATCTAGAACTTTCATGGGATTAGGGGATCGACCTGTGCCTGTCCTGCTATGGTTGCTCACCGTCCTCCTTGGGGAGTAGTTTGACGGTGAAGTAATTGCAGTCTTATCGTGCACCTATTGTGCCAAGTGATTTGCCATCACATGTCCTCATTTTCAGATTTCTCTTCTTGCCTGGTTGTATGATCCACGGCAAATCGAGTGCACACCAGTGATTCTAATGATTCTCGTGCATTGCGCGTTGGACGCCCATTCCTCCACTATTTAACATATCACCACTCGTATAAACTACCACCACCTCTGGATTCCCTTTCATATTTTCATTTATTGCGATAGTCTGCCCTTTCCATCTACCGGCTGTGGTCTGTGCCTTCAGTAAATTTTAATACCACCTCTGCTCCTCTTGTAAGTGCAAATACATGCTGTGGACTGACAGTCGGTATTAAAGTCGTCTCATAAACCGACAACACTTAGTGACACGCAACATTTCGCTAGGGATTATGTTGCTTAGGTTTTCGAAGCACATATTTGATCGTTTTGGTGTAAGGTGGCACAACGCATTAGCGAGGAATCCAGTGACAAGAAAAGAGGTAACTTCAAAAATTCCTCCGGTTCATTCTCGGCCTGTGTGAAAGAGTAGTGGGTAAAGAGATTCGCCGCGGTTGCCAGCAGAAGGCGGAAAAGAAAGGCTCTAGGCAAAAAGCACACTTTTGAGTTGAGCAGCACACGAGAGGCGACGTAGTTTGCATTGGGTCTCCCATGCCGCCCCATCGGTGCAAAGGTATGCCGAAAGGGTTCGTTGGTGACGGGCATCTGACATCCCTTGAACCAAATGGTTTCATCGTGAAACACAGCGGGTTCGTTGAGGAGGACTAGGTCGCCCGCAAGGAATTCCTCCCCATCTCGAAAGGCCTCACGCAAACACCCAAAGGGCCAGCCTGCTACGGTGAACCGCAGGGCCTCGAGACACAGTGCTTTCGCAAAGGAGAGGCATTTCGTTTCTATGTCAATACATTCCTCCTGCAAAGGGAAGTGCATCAGGATTCCACTCAGCAAGAATGGTCGGTAAACAATTTTAACTACTCACCGTCAAAGTAGCCGTATGTTTTCTACACATGTGTGGGCAGCTTCTTCGATGTACAGAGAGTTCTCTGACTAGTCGCTGACTCCATCCAGGGCGGGCGGTTAGTGCCGCCAGCAAGGTACGGAGACACGGTAGGAGGCTGTGGTGTCCAAGAAAGAAACTTTCGAACAAGAGGTGGTTGATGTGTTTTGTGGTAAGAAACGCCTCTATATCATCACCCTTTTGGTCATCAATAATTTGAGAACTGCTGAGAGTGTGCTTAGTCAGCAAGAGGTGGGAGAGGAGAGTTTCTGGTCTAGTGCTAGTGCCTCGATCTAGCTCAAACAGAACGAAAGGTTCGATGAGTCGATCAACTGCATGAATTAGTGCCTCTGCATCAGCATGAAAGTGTCTCGGAAGATGGCCGGAAGTATGTAGCTGGTAAAGGGAATGTGAGAGGTCGCCGAGGTTACTGATGATATCGTTGTGGCTTCGCTCGTCCCGAGAAGAGTGCATGATTGCTTCGAATAGTATACGAAGGACTAGCTCGTTCAAAGTGTCGGAGGAGAGAGTGATTTCCTCAGGTGTGCAGCCAAGAAAAGCTCCTACGCCACGATCAGAAGCACTTATAAAGAGGCTAGCAGGAAAGGCTTGTGAGGCAAATTCGAAGAAATCGTTTAATCTTGAATATTCCATCGCGAATGCATCGGAGAAGACTAGTCCTCTCCATCCCGAGGAGAAAGGAGCTGTGAATAAGTGTAACGCTTGAGCTGATATGTAACCAACAAGTAAACATTAAGAGCAGGAGGATTTAAGCATAATCAGAGCCTGTCGCATGTTCATTTACTTTGACTTAGACTATCAAAGGAGTAGAGAAGCTTGTAAAGATCTTACGCAAAAACTGCTTGCCTACGCTCACGAGATAAAGCATATTCCAATAATATACTAATCATAGGATGTATGACCTATCTGCATGGTCAATTAA